GTTAGCTTAGGGTTTAGGGTAAAACTAAAATTTAGTTAATTAGTTTGTTAGTATAAATTATTAGTTTGTTAGTTTAAGTTATATTATATTAGTTTGTTAGTTTAAGTTATATATTATATTATATAAAAAATTAGTTATTTAGTTTCTTAGTTTAAGTTATTAAATATAAAAAAAATTAATTTATTTGTTAGTATCTTTAAACGTATATTAGGTTGTTTGTTGAAGTTATAATATAAAAAAAAATTAATTAGTGCTTAATTAGTTTGTTAGTTTGTTATTTTAACTAAGTTATATTTATAATAAAGACATAGTTTATTAGTTTAAGTTGCATTGCCACATACTCCAAAGTTATCGTACATTCGCCACACGGCAAATGAAACGTGTGCGTTTCTGGTCTCCAACATTCAATCAACGCACTGATCAAACCTGGGACCAACTTGTAATCTCGCACAAATGTTACATACCAAAATCCAGCCTCTTGCAAGTTTTCTTCTATCAACGGGTGTGGCTTGGGCACTTTATGTAGCCGAAGACGAAGAACTCGCTGCTCATCCTCCTGCAATTAAATATTTCAAAAAATTTATCACAATTATAAAATAATATTCAAATATTTATTAATTATAATTCATTAAACAAATATTTTATTCACCATTATTCCCAAATGACTTGAAATATGTTCATTGTCAAGTCTCAGCAGTGGAATTTGGTCAGCCATTGGAATGAATCTGTAAAAAAAATTAAACAACAATATTTAAAAAATCATTTAATATAATCTAATATAAACTAACTAACTAACTAATTTACAACACAACAAAAAAATTTAATATAATAACTTATAATATATTAAACTAATAAACTAAAAAACTAAACTTTTTAAAATATAAGTTAAACGTAAACTATTCTTTAATATAACTTTAACTATTCTTTAATATAACTTTAACTAATAAACTATTCTTTAATATAACTTAAACTAAAAACGATTTTTAATTATAATTTACTACTAAAAAACTAATTAACTAAATTTTTTATATAATATAAATTCAACAAACAAATATAACTTAACTATTTAACTAACACAAAATAATTACATATTGTTTTATATATAAATAACGACTAACAAACTAACTAATTATTTTTATTAATATGTAACTATCAAACATACTAATTAAATAATTTTTTATTTCTATATGATATAACTTAAACTAACAATAATATAATTTAAACTAACAAACTCATTATCTAATTTTTTGTTTTACCCTAATTTATAATAATAAACTAATTAACTAATAATTTATAACAATAAACTAATTTAAATAATTATTCTTTTATATAACTTAAACTAATAAACTATTTTTTTATTATAATAAAACTTAAACTACTAATAAACTAATTAACTAATTTTTTTATATAATATAAATTCAACAACCAAAATATATATAACTTAACTATTTAACTAACTACAAACTAATTAAATATTAGACTAACTAACACACTAATTGATGAGTGTTCATAATCGTTAATATCTGTTCGTTATTTCTTCGATTTTGTGAAGTTATTGCTGCTGATTTGGTTGTGTTATGTCTATTTTCGTGCAGGTCCTTACTTTCCAGAATTGGTGATAAAACGAGCGAATTCTGCATTTTTTTTATTATTTGGTCACTGCTGGAGACATGGGCACGACTCTAGGCACGACGCGGTCTGACGTGGCAGTTTCTAGAAGGTCCAGTCAGCGGCGGTTTCTAGAAGACTTCGTCTGCACGCCTTCTGAAAGATTGACGAGCAGAGTTGCATTAGGAGACTAGTTTAAGTTTGAATTTAAATTTAAAAACAATTATCTTTTGTATTATTTTATTATTTTCTTTGTTTATCCTTTAGGCTTTGAGAGGCTATAAATACCCACTTGGGGTAAGCCTAAACTCATCATTCGGAATACATTCTTCTTTTCTCTCTAGTTTTTATAAAAGCTTTTCTTTTTACTTTTCAAGTTCTTTTCATTTTTCTTATTTTCAAGTTTTTTTTTATGCTAAGTATGACTTTTGTCATGCTTAGCTAAACTTTTCATAAGCCGAGAGCTGTCGCGATGATTCAATTCCAACGGGAGAATTGAAACGGTCCCTTAATATCTTCGGAATATCTCTCTCAATCTCTACGCTTATTTTTCAAAATCAAAACAGTTTTCAAAATCAAAGATTGACTTTGGTCAAGAGGTTGTTGCGATTAAACGTGTGAGAGGAAGATTCGACTTATAGAAAGCAATTCGACTTCCTGGGAACACACTTGGCGAGATAGCTTCGCCAAGAGGTATTTGAGATCGGAATTGACGGTTATAGAAGCAACAATCCGAGTCGGACGCCACGAACTTAAACGGTAATTGATCTACAACAATTGATGTTGTTAGAATCAATTACCGAAGCCGGAATCAAAGATTGCCTTGGGTATTCGGTATACAAGATAGAGTCACAAGGATAGCCCTTGTAGACAAAGTAACCGACGTGAATCCCGAAGAGAAAATCTTATTCGATGATCTACGAAAATTGAGTCAAAGCGAAGCTTGAGGCTATTTTCACATTATTTATTCACAACCTTATTTCTCCTATTTTTACTTCAATTGCTTTATTTAATCGTCTTTATTACTATTTAAATCTCATTCTACCCAAAACCCCCCATTCTACTATCTTTCACGCCTGCCATAGACCAATCAAACATTAAATTAAGAATTTTCCAAGTCCTTGTGGATTTGACCCTACTTCTCTACGCTACAAATTTTCCTTTAATTATTATCCGAGAAGAAGGAATTTATTTTGACATCAAAACGACAGTTGTCAAAATTGGCGCCGTTGCCGGGGACTTCGCCAAAGTTACTAATTTTTTTGTTTGTTTTTTATTTATGACCAGGACTAATCCGGGGACATTAGTGGAGTACAACCTGGAGATCGAAGCTGAAGCTAGGAGACTCCACGCACAGACACTTCGGGAAAGAAGGAGACAACAATCAGATCCAGAAGAAGAATCAAATTCAGGTAATACAATCCTGATGGCCGAACCTATTATTCGGGAGTTAGCTGCGGCACCCACTGAACAAGGACCTATGTGCATTAATTTTCCCCAAGGTGAAACTCCATACCAGTTGAAAACCGGTCTTATTCATCTCCTCCCTACATTCCGCAGATTGCCAAACGAGGATCCACACAAACATCTCAAAGAATTTCACATGGTCTGCTCTAGCATGTCACCACAGGGAGTAACCGAGGATCAAATCAAACTTAGAGCTTTTCCTTTTTCTTTAGCCGATTCAGCTAAGGAGTGGTTATTTTATATTCCTCCTAATTCTATTACTACATGGGCTCAAATGACTCGTTGTTTTCTTGACAGGTTTTTCCCTGCGGCAAAAGTAAGTGAATTACGAAGGAGAATACTTGGAATCAAGCAACTTGATGGAGAGTCGCTCTACGACTACTGGGAGCGGTTTAAGAAATTATGTTCTAGTTGCCCACAACATGGGTTATCCGAACAAACACTCCTTCAATACTTTTACGAAGGACTATCTCCCTTGGAAATGAAGATGATCGATGCAGCCAACGGTGGAGCCTTGGTGAATATGACTCCTACTGAAGCAAGAGACTTAATATCGACGATGGCTGCAAATTCCCAACAGTTCCGCGTAAATAATGAACCTTCTCGAAGGGTTCATGAGATAAGTTCATCTTCCTTGGAAAATAAAATTGACAAGTTAACTGAAGTCGTAAACTCTCTTGTTGTAGGAAATACATGACAAAACCGATTATGTGGAATATGTGCACTACCTGATCATCCAACAGACGATTGTCCACTGATTCAAGACGATGCAACAGCTCAAGTCAACGTAGTCAGAAACTTCCCGGGACCTCCCCAAAAAGCTTATAATCCTTACGGTAATACATACAACCCAGGATGGAGGGATCATCCGAACTTCAGTTATGCGTAGAACCCGAGACCGAATCAAGGCTATCAAGCGAGACCTTCACCACAACAACAGCCGCCGAAGACATCACTAGAATCGATTGTCGAAAGGTTAGCACTATCCCAGGAGAAATTCCAGACCCGAACTGAAGCCCACTTCCAAGAGATGGACAAGCAATTGAGCCAACTGACTCAAACCATTGGGAGATTAGAGTCACAAGGTAAACTTCTATCTCAAACTGAAGTGAATTCGAGGGAAAACGTTAGCACCATCACCCTTCGGAGTGGTACAGTAGTAGCGCCACCTATCCCATCAAACCAAGCAGTCCAAAAAGAAAAGAAGACCAATGACGCAGGATCTCAGAATGAGAATGAAGAAGAACAAGTGGACGATCCGACGCCATCTCCCTATAACGTGCCACCACCTTTTCCATCAAGGTTAGTTAAAAAGGATAAAAAACCGAAGAAAAGGAAATATTAGACGTACTTTGGAAGGTGGAAGTTAATATACCTCTCCTTGAGGTTATCCGAAAAGTTCCAAGGTATGCCCGGTTTTTGAAGGATCTCTGTACAACAAAGAGGAAGCTTACCAGAGTCGAAAAAGTAAGCTTAGGAGCGAACGTCTCAGCCGTTTTCCAACGAAAGTTACCACCTAAACTGAAGGACCAAGGTATGTTCGCAATCCCTTGTAAAATTGGTAAGGTTGAGATTAAACGAGCTATGTGTGACCTTGGTGCATCAATTAATGTAATGCCTCTATCTGTCTATAAAATGGTCACTAATGATCCTTTGAAGGATACAAAGATTTCGATACAGCTTGCCGACAGGTCGCTAATCTATCTTGAAGGACTCTTGGAGAATGTATTGGTGGAAGTAAACGACTTGATATTTCCCGCCGATTTTTATATAATCGACATGAAGAATGAACGCACGAGCACATCGTCTGATATTCTTTTGGGGCGCCCTTTCCTGAGCACTGCACACACAAAAATTGACGTGAGAAGTGGAATTTTAACTATGGAGTTTGACGGTGAGATCGTTAAATTTGACATATATAAGGCAATGAGATATCCTGATAAAGTGGAAAGTTTAAATTCTGTCGACTCAATTGATCCTTTGGCTGACGAATTTTTAAAGACTAATTTCTCTTTTGATATATACAGGAAGCTGGATGGTCATGATGAGAACGTGAATTATGATCATACATAATTGAATTTGATTTCTTCTAAAATCTTACCTTCTGTTCTGCAGGCACCCGAAGTTGAACTTAAACAATTGCCTGACCACTTGAAATACGCCTTCCTCGGACCATACAACAGTCTGCCAGTAATCATATTAAATGGGTTATCCGAGGAGGAAAAAGACTTGATCACGGTTTTGCGCCAAAACAAGGGGGCTATAGGATGGACCATTGCTGACATAAAAGGTTTGAGTCCATCTACTTGTATGCATAAAATTAAAACCGAAGAAGGCGCAAAACCAACACGTGAGGGTCAACGCCGGCTGAATCCACCAATGATGGAAGTGGTAAAAAAGAAGATACAAAAACTCCTAGATGCAGATATTATATATCCAATTTCGGATAGCAAGTGGGTAAGTCCGGTACATGTAGTTCCTAAAAAACTGGAGTTACTGTGGTTGAAAATTCTGAAGGAGAACTTGTACTTACACGAGTTCAGAATGGATGGAGAGTTTGCATCGATTACAGGAAGTTGAATTTGTTAACTCGGAAAGACCATTTTCCTCTTCCATTTATAGATCAAATGATAGAACGATTAGCCGGTAAATCTCATTATTGTTGTCTTGATGGATTTTTAGGTTTTTTTCAAATTCCAGTAGCACCTGAAGATCAAGAAAAAGCGACATTCACATGCCCCTTCGGTACCTTCGCCTACCGACGTATGCCTTTCGGACTTTGCAATGCACCTGCCACATTCCAAAGGTGTATGATTAGTATTTGTTCTGATTTTTTTGAGAAAGGTATTGAGGTCTTCATGGACGACTTCACTGTTTACGGTAATTCATTCAAGGAATGTCTATTAAATTTGAAAAATGTGTTGCGTCGGTGCCTAGAATTTAACCTTGTTTTGAATTATGAAAAGTGTCACTTTATGGTTGATAAAGGTTTGATTCTAGGACATATTGTTTCGTCCAAAGGAATTGCGGTAGATAAGGCGAAAATGGATATCATACGTTCACTTCCTTACCCCACTTCGGTGAGGGAAATTCGTTCTTTCCTTGGTCATGCAGGTTTTTACCGTAGATTCATTAAGGACTTCTCTAAAGTAGCGCAACCATTGTGCGAGCTATTACAGAAGGATAAAATCTTCAATTTTGACCAAAAATGCCAACAATCGTTCGACGTATTGAAGGAAAAGTTAGTGTCGACACCCATAGTCCAACCGCCAAATTGGGACTTTCCCTTCGAAGTTATGTGTGATACTTCAGATGGAAGCGTTGGGGCTGTGCTCGGACAAAAGATCGGGAAAGAACCTCACGTTATCGCTTATGCATCCCGCACCTTGGATTCCGCACAACGGAATTATTCAACAACCGAAAAAGAATTACTTGTCATTATTTTTGCATTAGACAAATTTCGATCATATCTTCTTGGCACTAAAGTTATTGTTTTCTCCGATCATGCAACCTTGAAGTACTTGCTCAGCAAAAAGGAGGCGAAACCACGACTAATCCATTGGATCTTGCTCATCCAAGAGTTTGATTTGGAAATCAAGGACAAGAAAGGATGTGAGAACTTAGTAGCCGATCACTTAAGCCGGCTTCCAATCACTGCGGTTGATTCTCCCATTCGCGAAGAATTCCCGGAGGAAATCTTGATGATGGCGCAAACATCAATACCTTGGTTCGCATATATAGTTAATTACTTAGCTACAGGGAAGTTACCATCTGATTTAACGAGAGTCGAAGTAAACCGCGTTAAGAGAGAATCTCGTTTCTTCATTTGGGATGATCCATATCTTTGGAAGCATTGTTCGGACCAAGTAATTCGTCGATGTGTTCCTGAAAGCGAGGTAAGCTCAATCTTAAATTTTTTTCATTCTTATTCGTGTGGTGGACACTTTGGACCGAAACGAACTGCTCATAAAGTCTTGGAATGCGGATTCTTTTGGCCTCATATTTTCCGTGATGCCTACTTGTTCTGCAAAACTTGTGATAATTGTCAACGTGCAGGTAATTTGAGTCGAAGAAACGAAATGCCCCTTCATCCTATACATATATGCGAAATATTTGATGTTTGGGTACTTGACTATATGGGTCCATTTGTTTCTTCTTTTGGCAATTATTATATAATTCTTGCGGTTGATTATGTTTCGAAGTGGGTGGAGGCTAAGGCCACTCGAAACAACGATGCTAAAACTACTGTTCAATTTCTAAAGAATTGTATTTTTTCCAGGTTTGGTACACCGAGAGCGATAATAAGCGATCGTGGCACACACTTCATCAATTGAGTAATTGATGTACTTATGAGGAAGCATGGAGTGAATCATAGAATTGCCACGGGTTATCATCCGCAAACGAACGGACAAGCGGAAGTTTCAAACCGAGAAATCAAGATGATTCTTGAGAAAATAGTTAAGACAAATCGCAAGGATTAGAGCTTGAAATTGATTGACGCTCTATGGGCTTATCGGATTGCATACAAAGGACCTATTGGCATGTCACCATACCGCCTTGTGTTCGGTAAGCCGTGCCATTTACCTGTCGAGTTAGAACACAAGGCATATTGGGTCGTAAAACAGTGCAATATGGAGCTAGAAGCGGTTGGCGAAACACGGAAGTTATATATATACAAGAGCTTGAGGAAATTCAGAGAGATGCTTACGACAACGCAAAAATATATAAGGACAAAACAAAAGAATTTCATGATCGAAAAATTGTTTCTAAATCTTTTTCTATCGGACAAAAAGTTCTTCTTTTTAACTCAAAATTAAAACTTTTTGCAGGTAAACTTCAGTCAAAATGGAACGGACCTTATACAGTAACTAGAATATTTCCTCATGGCGCAGTCAAAATTGAAGATAATTCAGGCACTCGGTTTAAAGTCAATGGACACAGGGTTAAGCCATATTATACGAATAGCGAAGTTTGCTTAATTGAAGATCTCAACTTGGAAGAACCTGTAGTCTGAATCAGGTCGTCGAGCTAACGACGTTAAATAAAGCGCTTCATGGGAGGCAACCCATTATTTTCCGTTAAATTTTTATTTTTAATTTTTAATTTTGTTCGACCAGGCATGTTTAATTTATTTTTTTTATTTTTATTTTGCAGAAACCGAATATTTTTATTCGAACTTAAACGACGAAGAGTTGCAAAATTTCCATTCGAAAAGTTCTAAACCCGGAACTTACAATGCACGATCGAACAGAGAGGGAACAAAAAAGGAGAAGCCTGTGCGCGCCGTTTAATTAACGGCGCATGTTAGCAGAACCCAAGGGGGGGCTCGGCGCACATTAGCGAAACCAAAATATTTCTTTCCCCCCCTTTTAAAGATTCTGCCACCCACCTTATCCTCTCCCCCAATTTAATATTGCGTGGACCCCAACCTATCACCATCTATCCATTTTTTTTAGATTTCAAACACTTTATCATTAAACAAATTAAACCCATTTTGACTCAAACTCATCTCCCACGTACGACAGTATCAACTTCAACCCAAGTCACATAAACTTCCTCTCCTACTCGACAACCCCCCAAACGCACGCCTCCTCCTTATCATCGCCGGCGGCTACGACACACCACGCTTCTCCTTATCCCGCTATGGTACGCACGCGAAACCGACCCGATGCCACCGACGCTCCGCCTCCCACCATACTTGGAGGACGACGCCGCTCAAACGCCCCGGCGTTCGTCGAGGTGCCAAGCGACTCCGATTCCCAACCGCCGCAACCCCCGGTTCGATCAGCACAAAGTTATGGCCCGGCTCCGATATCGCCATACCATTCGGCATTTGTGCCGACCGCCTCCTTCCGTCCCGGTCCAAGCACATCTCGTCGCCCATCCCCTTCGCGATCTCCATCTCCGTCGTTTCACTCCATGCCAACTGAGGCAACGTCATCTCGCTCACGACGGACATCATTCCCGTCATACTCGATGCACTCGGCCACATCGGATAATGCTCCCAAGGTAAACTCTAGCCTCGTATCAATTCAACCTTTGCTAATGTACCACCATGTCTATGGTTTTACAGAGGACTTCACTGCCGGATTTCCACCCCCGGATCCATCACCCGTGGCATCCAGCTCTCGGCAACACCACGACCGTGATACTTCGCCAACCTATCCACCTAGCTCGTGGGACGTACCCGCGAGCCCACCTTATCCATGACCCGGCCTTGCATTATATCCATCGCTTCCTCGCTTACAACTATTCTGGCCGGAATGACTCATCGTCCTCCTTAAGCCACGTCGAGCTATTCTTTTTATGGTGCATGTCCGCCGGTGAGCATGTGAACCTCGATTTTTGGTTTGCTCGGGCTTTTGAGATCGTTATCCGATCCAACCGCCCACTTATCCTTGGCCCTTACATTACACATTTAGCTTCTCGCATCGCTCGCTTTGATGTAACATGATTTACTTATGCTTTTTCTACAGATGCTTTAGATGAGCGTTGCTTGGATTCCATGGGCCTACTTACCGGAACCCCAACTGCACCTTACTTCATTCCACTAGGTGTCCTCACTCCTCGCAGCAAGCACGTCTTCACTCGTCGACACGCACCAGCACCGCCTCCTGCAGTACCACGCCCAGATATGCAGTCACAAATGGATGAAGTCCACGACCGCCTCCACTCTATCGAGACAAACATCACAGAAATTCTCTCATACCTCCGTCCTAGCACCTCTCATTGTGGCCAAGGCCGTGGTCGCGGTCGACACTAGATCAGGGGAGTACTCTATTCCTTCTCTTGTATTTTAATTTTTCGTTTTGAGGCAAAATGCTTTAAGTGAGGGGGAGTAGAGTGTAGGATTGAATTTCCTTTCGTTTGTCTTTATGCTTTGAATCTAGTATGTGTTGGTTGAATTGGTTGGAAATTTCATTGATTGTCTTTGTC